TTGTTCTTGTTCCTCTTCTTTTCTTTTTCCCAAGCTCTTTTCACTTCTTTTTAAGTATACTTCAGATTCTCTAAAGTTCTCTTCACTCTAGCTTTTGAACTTTTATTTTCGGAATTTTTATCATATTGAGAAAATTCAAAAAGTAGCTTTTCTATTTTATATTTACATTTTATTTTTCTTAATAATAGTAATTGTGTTGTACTTGTATTAGATAAACTAATATCAAGTAAACCTAAATGATTAATATAATTTTATTATTTAATATACTTTTCTCCTTTATATTTAGTACAATGCTATAATATTTTTCCTGATATTATTACATTTGTTTATATTAATTTAGTATTAGTTTTATATTTAATAAATTTTTTTAATAGCGATATTATGATAGTGCAGACATCTTTTTTAAACACTTTTTAAAATAAATATATAACTATATATAAATTTATGAACAATAAATAATACTATAAAATCTTCTATATTTGATCTCTCATACCAAAAAATTTCTAACTAATTTTTTTAAAAATATATAATAAACTCTGTAGAAACTTAAGAGCAACAATGCAGAGAAGTATAAGACAGTACCTGTTATTTAGAGATAGTTTTCATGTACTATCTGCTAACAGGTTTAGAGTTTATCACTCACTGCAATATCATAGCAGTACTTGTCATTTAGAAGTAGTTCTCATATGCTACTTGCTAACAAGCTTAGAGTTTATTACTCACCCACAGAAGATAAGTACTGGTTATATTCTAGATGAATACAAGTGGATAGTAGATTTTGTAAAATATATACTCTCTTTAATTTTTTTGATACTACTACTGTTTCCCTCTGGACCTTTAGATTTCTCTATACTGAAAAATAAAAAAGTGGAGGATTTGGTAAACCTCTGACAAAGAATCTGCAAGTTTATACTATATCCTAATTTGGTAAGTTATCTGTTGATATGCAATTTAGATAAGACAACAAACATGTACATCACCATCATATGGATGATCCAATTAGGATTTAACTTCTGAAGAAGTTTATTGCTAGAGATATGTATTCTTGTTTTTGCATAACATAATATTTTTATATTTTGTCACACTCTTTTTTTCTTTATGTTAATGAGAATATTTA